CAGGAGCCCGGCTGGGCACGGGGACCACGTGTGTCAGGAAAGGAGACAACCCTAACAAAGGCTGCGCCTCTGGCTGAGATGTGGAAGAATTACGGAATCATGGAATTGTTGGAGTTGGAAGGGACCTTCTTGAGATCATCCAGTCCAACTCCCCGGCCAAAGCAGGGTTGCCCAGAGCACATCACTCAGGATGGTATCCAGACCAGTCTGGAAGATCTCCAGAGAAGGGGACTCCACACCTTCCCTGGGCAGCCTCTTCCAGGGCTCTGGCACCCTCACCAGAAAGAAGTTCTTCCTCATATTTGAGTGGAACTTCCCATGTTCCAGCTTGTGCCCGTTGCCCCTTGTCCTGTCACTGGGAACCACTGAGAAAAGTCTGTCTCCATCCTCCTTCAACCCACCCTTTAGATATTTGTAAGCATTGATAAAGTCTCCCCTCAGCCTTCTCTTCTTCAGGCTAAAGAGCCCCAGCTCTCTCAGCCTTTCCTCATCAGGGAGATGCTCCAATCCCTCCATCATCTTGGCTTGGTTCAGCGCACGATGAGTTAATGGACAGACCAAGGGGTAGTTTGTGTCTGGGAAGAGGGTGAGAGAAGTTGTGTGCGCTTGTTACTGTGTTTTTCACTTGCAAAACCTTTAGCAGCAATCGACCTGGAAGGATGTTGTAGTGAGGTGGGAGGTCCGTCTCTTCTCCCGAATAACAAGCAACAGGACAAGAGGAAACAGCCTCAAGTTGCACCAGGGGCTGTTCAGATTGGGTATTAGGAGAAATTTCTTCATGGAAAAGGTTGTCAAGCAATGGAAGGGGCTGCCCAGGGAAGTGGTGGAGTTGCCATCCCTGGAGGTATTGAAAAGCTGGGTCAACGTGGTGCTGAGGGCCATGGGTTAGTGGTGGACTTGGTGGTCTGAAAGGTCCCTTCCAACCCACGGAATTCTGTGTTCCTGTGCAGCCCCTTACTCTGTGCTGGCTGAAGGGCGGGTGCAGCCGGGGGGTGTCACAGGGACCCGCAGGCATCGCGCTGCTCTGGCTCCTTGTGAGATGGAAGCTTTCAGCCCTGCTGTGACCCTGCTGAGGAACCCCTCCCTGGGGTAGGAGAACACGCCGCAGACAGGTCACACAGAGGACTGTGTGCAGAACCCTGTGCTCTGAAGTTGAAGTAAATGCATCCCTAGATTACAACTTCTGCACAACCATCTCATTTTCCTGTTCTTATGTGTTCATCTCCCTCATGGGCTCCTGCAGTGGCTATAGAAAACCTGCATCAGGGTGAGATCCCTTCAGTTGATGGACAGACAATTAATTTTTCCCTTCCTGCCAGTTCATTATCCTGCCAGAGTCGCACTCCCATAGTCCGGGACGTTCCAGCTCTTCCCAGCTCTGCCTTCAAACAGCTGCTCGACCCAGTCAGAAACTCCCCCTGTGAGGCAGGAGAAAAAACCTGGGGAAGGGATAGTTTGATTGAATTCCTGCCTTGTTTATTGCTGTTTTTTATAACTTATATAGGTATTGCTATTGTCCTCTTTTTGGCAAAATCTTGCCTCACCTGCTCCAGTGCCCGGGCCCCGTATTGTGGTTTATTCCTGCAGCCAGCACACCCCAATTTTGCTATTTCATCTGATAACAAGGTGCTCAAACTTCTGTAACAGAAAGAAGCGAACCAAAGGGCATTAATTATGATATAGACCCTTTATTAGTTCCGTTTTTATACAAAGTGTACTTCAAAGAGATACAAATAGTGTTAGTGTTTCTTTTACGGGCTAGAGGTTAAGACCTGTTAAGCGCTGTTTTCTCCTCCTGTATCTATAAAGGTAGAAAATGTAAATAGCTTGGCAGTGACCCATGAGGCTGGAAGACAGTTCAACAGTTATTTGTTAATAGAAAGTTGCATAGAATTGTAGGTCTTTATAAAAAAGGCATCTATCGATGTGGTAAAAAGTCTCCCTGCCCCTGCTGCCCGTGGAGGGAGACGGTGGAGGGAGAAAGGCAAGGCTGGTACCGCTCCTTCCACATTCCATCCAGCCCTTCCCAGTCCAAGGGCTGCAGAAAAGCACTAGGGCAGAGCCACCCCAGAGGACAGCAGGTGGAAAATGTCATTCATGAGGCCACCCCTTCCTAGAGGTCTCAGGAACCGTTGGCCACCTGGGATCTATTCATACATGAAACTCCTTGAAAACATCTAAGAACGTTTGAGATGCAAAGCCTTTTGGCCAGTTACAATGCATCGCTACACTTGGTCTGCTGCTCCACTCTGTAATTCCATTCCCTTCTGTGCTGGGAAGCACCTTCTGTAGATGTCTGCTACTAAATTAATTCAGCTCACGTGAGATTGTTAATCTAGTTCTAAAAATCACAACTAATAACTGCTACCTTAATTAGGAACTCCAGCAGAATCGTCCCTTGCCACTCCCGCCCCTGACTCAGCTGCATAGAATCATGGAATCATTGAGGTTGGAAGAGACCCTTGGGATCATCGAGTCCAACCATCTCCCCTACTCTACAAAGTCCTCCCCTACACCATGTCCCTCAGTACCGCATCTAAACGGCCCTTAAACACAGCCAGGGAATGGTTCCCATTCCACGCCTTCTGCTGAAACTCATCTAAACCCATCAGAAATTCTCCCCAAAGTCACTGTTCCAATGCAAATTAAGCGATTCCTGGTGGCAACGGTCCGTACTGGCCAAGGCCACCAACAATCTTCTGCTCTGGGAGGAGAGCAGGAGAACAGGGAACGCAGCCTCAGTGCTGAAGGAAGCAGAGGAAACAGGATTTTGTCTTGAATTTGACCTCTCAAGTGGAGAAGTCGGTTTAAGGGAACTAGTTTACATGTTTTTACAACTGGCCTCTTGGGTCTTCAGAATAAATATGCAAATTTTGATATTTTTTTTTTCCAAAGACAAACTTACCGCTTCCTTTACAATATTAATTACTTTAAATACATCCTTAACTTTATTCTTTTTCATCCAGTTTAACATAGGACAAGATTACTGGTCTGCTTGGGAGGAAATGGAGCCGACTGAAGTGTGATTTGGTACAAGAAATGCCAACAGCAGTAACCCCTAACGTGCCTTCAGCAGCTCCCTTGTGTAATCCTAAAATCTGATGGCCACCAGGGAAGCAGCGTTTCCAAGTGAATGTCTTCACTTACACCAAGTCTACTACGATGCTTGGACCCTTAGTTTTTATAAAAAGGCTTAAACTGTTCAAAAAGAAGAAAAATACCCCTTCTGCCAGCTGCTGTTCAGAGCTGTGTAATGCATGAGGCTGAAAAAGCTGAAAGTAGATAAAATACTGACATAACGGGCTATTTAATTTCAGCCTAATTAATTATAAGACAGGGAAAATGATGACCACACCTCAGCATGTGCCACCCTACCACTCAGGATGTATCTTCTCGTGCAGTTTCATGTCTGTCACTTGAAGGACAGAGAGCAGGCCACATGCAAAGTAAAGATTAACGAAACACGATTTCCTACACTAGAAGGAATTTAGTCATAACTGAGATGGTGAAACTCCTAAAACAAACAAATGCAGAGATCCCATTGCAGAAAAAGCACAGAGCTAATATGGCTATTTCCTGTGGTCCCAACAGAAAGGATTGGGTGATCCACTGCTGCCCTGCAACCTGGGAGAGATGCTCCAGCTCATCCCAGTTCTACGGGATTTTGAAGTAATTTTCTTCTTTCCCATTAAGCAAAGTAGATAAAGTCACGGCACAGAACCACACGGTCACAGCACACAGAAAAGCACTGACTGACTCTAACAGCATGAAATCTGGTGCTTCAAAATTAGTGTGAATGCTGAAATAATAGTCATAGAGACCACAGACACCACCAGCTTGCTCGTTTAGAGCACAAGAGAATAAAAGCATTCTTACTTTCTACCTACAGCTTTAATACACACACCCATGTGAGGTCCCCACTGAATGGTTAGTGTGAGTGAAGGTCTTTCCAAAGGACAGCTACTGGTTTAGTTTCCACCTGTGACACAGGGCTGCTGGAGGGATGTGCTGTGTCACGAGGTGGTGACCCTGCTACAGCGACCGAAATACTGTCAACAACTGCAATTTAATGGAGAATAGAAGGACTGAAAGCAAGTAATTATCTGGACATCACTCTTCCTATGAATGTTTTCTTTCCGAAAAACAAAACCAAAGAAACTTCTTAAAGAAGAGTTATTTCTGTCAGTTTTTAAACGCTCCAGACCTGACCACGTGCACATCTGCCCCAGAGCTGCTAAAGAAACAGCGAGTTGGAAGGATTTGTGAATGCCTGAAATGAAGAGAGCTCTGCTGGCAAGCCTTCGTCGGGGTGGATGTGCTCAAGAAGGTCGCTGCCTCTCTCTTTGGTTACGCTGTTAGCCAGAAAAGCCTTGCTCTGAGTGGCAGCAAGGCGTGCACAGAGATGTATTTGCTTTCTAAACTATAAAATTAGCTTATTCGGGTTGCACCTGCACACGTTTTCCTGAAAGTTCAAAACTGATTTAGCACGTTCAGTGAACGGGAGGCCAGGTTCTGCCTCCCTCACCTCGAGTACTGTGTCCAGTTTTGGGCCCCCTACCATAAAAAAGACATTGAGGTGCTGGAGCGGGTCCAGAGAAGGGCGACAAAGATGGTGAGGGGTCTGGAGAATAAGTCTTATGAGGAGAGGCTGAGGGAGCTGGGGTTATTCAGCCTGGAGAAGAGGAGGCTGAGGGGAGACCTTATTGCTCTCTACAACTCCCTGAAAGGAGGGTGTAGAGAGGTGGGGGTCGGTCTCTTCTCCCAAGTCACAGGTGACAGGACAAGAGGAAATGGCCTCAAGTTGCGCCAGGGGAGGTTCAGGCTGGATATTAGGAAAAATTTTTTCACTGAAAGGGTTCTCAGGCATTGGAATGGGCTGCCCAGGGAGGTGGTTGAGGCCCCATCCCTGGAGGAGTTCAAAAGACGGGTTGATGTAGTGCTGGGAGGTATGGTTTAGTGATGATGCTCCTTGTTTGTTGTGTGGGAGTCTATTTCTGTCAGTTAGGTTGACGGTTGGACAAGATGATCTTTAAGGTCCCTTCCAACCTAGAAGATTCTGTGATTCTGTACTCCACTGAAGAGCTGCGAGAGGACAGAATATGGCTTAATTCTAGCACTGAAAACAACACAAACAGGCTGTGCAGGAAGTTGAGAGAAAAATTGAAGTGCAGAGATTTCTCATGCAGTCCTTACACATAAATGCCCCCTCGATTCAGTATTTGTGAGTCTTAAAAAATCCTAGCTCTTACACAGCTGCAAACGTGAGTACTAATAAAGACGTCCGAAGTCCGAGTGACTGTGCAAATATTCATCAGTTGTGGATATATTAATGTTCAAGTAGCCTTAAACCTGCCAAAAGAAAAAGTAAGGATACTCAAGATATTTATATATGCTTTAAAGATACTGAGGACTGAATGGGCTGGTCTTAAGCTTACAGGACGCTGTAGAAATAGTGGATATTTTCACATATAAAAGCTTCAAATTTTTATATAAAATGCAGATCCCCTCCCACAAACTCCAAGTCACTCACACATCTATTTAAAAGGCTTTAGATGACTCTTATCTCGGGCTTTGGTATTAGTCTCTTAAGTGTGTATGAGCCTGGGCAATTAGAGAAGCTCTAAAGTACAAGCCAACCTCGCCTGAAGGTGTTACGCAGCAGAACAGCACACTGAAGTGCTTTCTTTCCACCTTTGAAATATACCTTGTACAGACTATACACAAACAAAATCTATCCATTTCTATTACTGGCTTACTAATCTTACCACTGACTTTTCTCAAAATTAAGTGATCATTACTGATCACATTTCTGATTACTGATGATCACATTTCCTTTCTTTTTCAAATATAAGCGAGAACTAGACCCACATGGACCATAATGGACCAGGAAGGAAACAACCTTTAAGTATCTTTGACTTTAAAAGGCTCTAGCTTTCAGGCTTGAAAAACTCCTGTAAATGAAGAGATAACAAATCAAGCCTCCTTCCCCCTTTTTATAAAAACAGTAGCTAAAAACGTATTTACCAATTACTGGTTTTAATGCCCAGTGTTCCCTAAGAGAAAGTTCTCCTGTTTGTTTTCATGCCCCAAGAGGAAATAAAGTAATCCAGATTTTCAGAAAAAAACCCCAGGTAAATCAGAAATGATCTACAGTTTACCAATCATTCACAAAAAGTAGAAAAGTTTGCCAGATGGTCACAGAAGAAAATGCTTTTTGAGCTTACTTCTGTTTAGATAACTGTAACTTCCCTAGGTTTTCGTTTCACACTCTCCAGTCGTGCCAGAGGGCGGAAGTTTGTTGCCTTCCTGCTTCCCTCGTTGGTGGTCAGCCGACAGTCCTTCTGCAGCCCCCTCAACAGCTCCATTAATTCCCTTTTTTCCAGCTCTGCCTGCTCCAGCTCTTGCCGGTGCTGTCTCTCTGCAGCCATCAGAGAGCGGATGTCTGACATCATTCGTGACATCTGACTCTGAAAGGCAAGTAACAAATTTACTGCAAGAAACAAACTCTTCTCTAATGATGGTGGTAAGGAGTTGACTTGGCCAGGTGTGTAGGGTGATGGATTCCAAAGAATAAGCAACACTGAAATAATGTTTTGACGGCAGAACAAATGTAAACTACTTGAGACACAATCCAGCATTCACCTACTGAGATGGTCTTGTTTCAAATATTCCAATATAGTTTTCCTAATGAGAAGGAGTGGACTTATCCAGCTGCTGCTTAAATTTTGTATTCCAAGACCCCAAACAAAATAAGGTTTTGGTTATGTTTAGATACATTCTTCAACATCAAATTCAGTGAAAATAAAAACGTAAGCTATAAAGCACATCCAATGCTTTGGGCTTTAAAAATCCTTATTCTGTGATACAATAAGAACGGGGTGAATGAAAAGGGAAGAAGGCTTTCCTTGTTACTTGATTAAGTGCAACTACTGGGAAGAGCAAAAAGCAAGACTGTCAGGAGAGGGAAAAAAATAAATTATCATATTTACCTTTAGTTCTTCGATTTCATTTTGCAGAATACTCTCTTTTTGGACCATATGCCTTCTCTGTGAATCTAACCTTGACTCCATCTCGTGTTTTGCCTCCTCCACTCTGCAGATCATTTCTGACCTAAAAAGTTTATTTCTCCTTGTTAGGTCTTGTAAGCATGGAAAAAAAAAGTATTTTCAAATTCCAGAGAACCTTCTTGCAGCCAAACAGCCCAATCCGATTCCCATTGTACTCTACAGGACATCTCTCCAGAGGCAGGACAGTACTATTTATTAATTTAAATAAAACTAGATGTTATTGGTCTGTCAGGACTTTAATCAAAATTGAAAATTAGGTCCTCAGAGTTTTAATCTATCCGTCTGTACCAGATAAAATAATAACAGATTTCTATCTTTCGGATTTATAAAAAAAAAAATAAACTAAAGATATAATGTGACTTTGGGTATACGTCAGGCCAATGGAAAAATGAAATTGCCAATTTCATTTCAGTTCCTGTTAGGTATTTTATCATTTTATATAGCCAGCTTGCGGTTCAACAGCAAGCAATGTTATTTTAGGATTTATGATAACTTGGACACAAAAGTAGCAAAAAATTCAAACCAGTAAGAATTTAAAGTCTATGCTGACACACAATAATACTCTGGCCCATTAGTATCAAGTAATTAACAGACTATTTAACACATACTGGAATCCAGTGCTAGTATTCGAAGTGCTTTATACAGTAATTTTAGGCCCAGACTAAGACAAAAATCAAAGAAAAAGCTTTGTACCGAAGTAGTTCCAGCTCGGTCCTGAGCTCTGCCACACAATTGTGCTGTGTGTCTTCTGCACTAAGGATGGTGTAACCACAGCCGTTGGGGCACTCCCGGCTCCGGTACTCACACACCGCCAGGTGACCTTCTAAGTTACGTCGCTCAATCTGAACCGTACAACCTGAAGAGGGAACAGTGAAGTAAAACCAGTCATTTACAGCTAAAGAAGCATTTGAATTCACAGAATCACAGAATCACAGAATCTTAGTGTTTGGAAGGGACCTCCGAGATCATCAAGTCCAACCACATTAAAAAAAACAAAAACAAAAAAACAAAAAAAAGACAAAAAACAACAAACCCAAAAACACCACCCACCAACTAAACCCCACACCCACAACCCCACACCCTTTTTTAAATTTTTTTAATTTTTTAATTAACTCCAAACAAAAACACTCAAGCAAACAAACTGCAATGTCTTGAGCTAACCAGCTGTCAATCTGTTAAAGCAATGAAAAAAGGTGATTTCTCTAGTATACAAAATAGTTCTAACAGTTATAACACACTAGTAATAAAACACTCTTAAAAAGTCTGATGAATATATTTATCCATTAAATGAAAACATGTATAAAAAGAAGGTATTTTCTGTGAAGATTCTGCCACTGCTCTGGCATTAAAGCACCTTCTGACTGCAATGACTGGAATTGAAGCAGAATGTATGTGTGTAAAAAACACCCATTATGTATCAAATTTAGAAAAAAAATCCAAGGAAACGTAGTAAAATTGTAGAGATGGAATGTAACCTTGTTTTCCTAAACATTGGTTGGTTCTGTGTATAACATACTAGGCCACATAAACAAGAACATTTATTTATGAATATTTAATATCTGATGCAAAAATAGAAACATTTCCACTGAAATTCTAGGACAAAAACTTTGCAAGTCTGTAGCGTAAAATGTGCAGAACAAAAAAAGAACACTACATAAATTATTGCTGCATTTAAGACTCTAAAAGTCTGAAGTTTGTAGTCTTTCCTTTTAATGTTTGAGTCACTGATGTAATATATACTGCGGCTCCTTCCAATTCATTTGAAGATAAAACAGATGTATGAAAACTGAAAGAGCAGAGCAATGGAACTTGTCAACAATGGCTTGGCAAGAAGGAGCACTTTTACCAGAAAGTTACAAAAGACAGCCCTCTAGAAGGGCTTTCCTAATAAATCTAATGATTTGTAATTGGAGATAGATACTCAGAATACACTCGGATGTTCTCTTGAGGAAGAGCTGAAGAGAGGTAAGAGCCCTCACACCCTGAGCACCAGACATCAGAGAGAAGGGGTAAGAACTCTACAAACCCTGCTCTTTCCATAGAAAGTAAAACAGGAGAATCTGAAGCATCTGGAGGAGTCACTTACTGCTGAGAGAAATTATAGCTTCCAGGGGAGCAATTCTAGCACCTTCATCTTGTTACAATTAATTACGATGCCAGACTTGACTTTGCCCTCAGCATCGTTAATTAGGAATTAACTTTGTCTGCGAACACACGACATTTTGAATAAAACCGACTGAGAAATTTTAACAGGATGTTTCTTTTTAGCCGTATGCTTCTTCCTCAGGAGGTCTAGGTTTCTTTTAAATAAAGACCTTAACATAAACACACAAACTCTAATTTAGCTTAAAACAATTCTCATTTTCAAGATGCATTTTGTTAACACCACAAGACAGAGTGAGCATGTGCACCAGGGAGCCAGACTTTTTGCTGTGACCCATAAGCACTCTGTAGGTGCTCTTGCATTGATTTAAATATCAAAATGAGCAGCCAAAATTGAAAGACAAACTCATAACTTGACAGAAAGCAAAACAAACACACTACTGTATTTTCATAAATTTGAAGTCCATCATTCTCATTCATTTTGATTAGCTCCTGCATGAGGAATTGTAGCTAATCCTTGTGATTGTCATAAATCAGTACCAAATTTTGGATGACAAATACACGTTTCCTGAATATAAAGGATTTGACTTCTTTTAACGTTACTCACCGGCGTTGGAGCAAGGTATCTGACTGTATTCACACTCCCTTTCGTGCCTGTCTATAGACTCCAGAGAACAAACCATTTCACAGCCATACTCTCTGTTTTTGCAATGGAGCTGAAGACGGTTTAAATCATTTTTCATGTATCTACGTGCAACAAAAAATAATTTGTCCTTAAATCTGGGAACATTAATGAAAAATGTGTCTTTTCAGCTTTTGGGCACAAAAAAGTACGACTCTAATCTCCATTAGGAAAAATTGTGAATAACGACTATAATTTTTATTTTTTCTTTTTATTTTATTTTTTTTCAGAATTCAAGTGACCATACTGGAAAAGAACAGGTTTAAAGGAAACAATGTTAACGGGAAATCCAGTCTCCAAAATTAAATGTGCAAATGAAATCTATATTTTCTGAATAAATTTTTAACCCTGACCTTTCACTAGCTCAGCAGATATTACCAAAACCAAACACTAGGGCTACTCATTCATCATTTAAGTTTTGTATTTGTAAACATGACAACCAAACTGACTACAGTGAGTATAGACAACACAGCCCATAAATTAAACTCTAGGGTTCTGTCTACACCATACTCCAACTTTCCAGACAGTAAAATCTCATTAGTGACAAAAATAGTGAGAGTACTAATGGAGTTAATTTAACACCTGGGGCTGAAGGTTTTAAACACAAAGATAACTGTTAATCTGAGCAAGATTAGACAACGCAGGGGTTAAACAGCAAGCGGTGTCTGCTGCTGGAACTCTGTGTGCTGGCAAGGAATTAAGGAAAACACTTGTGAAAACAGCCTGCTTTACATGACAAGGGGGCTCAAGGCAGATATTCTTGTGGCTAAAGACCTTTCTAAAACAAGGATTTGAAGGTGAGAAGTTTAGCTCATACTGACCAGAATTATTCATTACAAATCCCACTACAGTATCTAGATAAGACTGAACAGAAAAACAAAATATACTCTGTGTTTAGTGATTGTTGTTGTCAAAAGTTGCTTTCCCTGCTTTTTCCAAAAAAGTATTGGAAAGCTTCAGTGCTGTAGAAGACATTCAGCATAATATCCAGACAGAGATCTAGAATCAGTGTTCAAGATATAAAAAGGTGGAGAACAAACTAAAGGTTCTTTCCACTTTGGAATATTAATACCTTGTAAGTTAGTTATAATAATTAGAAAATGCTATTGCTTTCATGCAAGTGGTCAGTTTCTGCCATAGGCATATTGGATAAAGACAATTTGAGTGACAGTAAGTGACAAGAGATGAAGCTATGCCAGCAAAGTTGAGAAATTCACGTCATTTCAACATGCAGCAAGATTACTGTGTACCTGTAGAGAGGTCGTAGCAAAGATACATCAATCATTTGTCTGTCTTCAGGGCAGTTGCTGTGATGAACAAGCCACCCGTGTATACAAGCAGTACAGAAGGCGTGTTCACAAGGAGCCTGTAACGGATCTTCCAACACATCGCGGCAGATGGAGCACAACAGCCCTTCGTTAACGTAGCCAACGAAGCGCTCGATGTCGTAACCCATCCTCTCCACACACTTTCAACCTCTTAAAACAACACAGAGAAATAGAGCAGCTTTGTACTGAATCTGTATGGCTCAGTCCCCCAAAAGGCCTGGAAGCAATTCTAGAAATAAAGAGAACTTAACGTGAATAAGGAACTTCACAGGTGAGAATGCAAACGCTTGCATACTTTGGAGACTTTAAGATTTAAGTGAAAATGTGGGGATCATACATCTGGATGTCAGAATCCCAATTTTATATCAAGATTCTCTGAATTCTGAAAGCAAAGACTTTAGTAGATAGTTGAGCTGTGCTTGTTCTGAACTCTGTTACTGAACATAGTTCTAGCTGCCGCTGTGAAATATATAGTTTCTATTTACTTGAATTCTACCAGAAGCAGAAACATTGTAACAAGTTCAAAGGCAAATGTTTGCTTTCTGTTTTAATGCCTTTTATGTAATGCCAAACAAACTGACAAACCAGTGTCTTTACATATGCTATCTGTGCTACTTTCAGCCAGCAGATTTTGTATTTGTGAATTCCACGTCACTTAACGTGTTGCTTTCACGCTGAAAACAAAGACAAAGATTCTCTACTCCTTGTAGACTTCCTTTCCAGGGGGAACAGCATGAAATCTCCACATGCCTAGAGAAATACTTCATATTTGGGAAGATCAAGAAGCCAAAACTGCAGCAAAGCCTGAAATCCTGAGGAGCTACTGTCTTCTCTTACATGGTCTATTTTATAGAACCGAGTAGACTTTAAATGGATTGGGAAGCTTTGTGCAGAACCAAGAGGCAACCTGCCTTCATCAAAAGCCTAGTAGAATTTGGTAAGACTCCCCAGAACTCACTTAAAATAATATGTTTTAGGCTTCACATTCCTCCTTACCACACAAAATTACTTTTGCAACCCCACTGAGAATTGTGAGAGATGTTTTCAGCAGTGATGAGGTTTTTTTAAATAGAACAGAAAAGGAAGATATCCTACCTTTTTAGATTTTTCTACATATATACGTAGTTTGTCCAAATACTTCAGGAATTTTTCTGGTCAGTAAGGCATGTAATACTTCCTTCCTTCAGTTTCTCTTCACTGCTTTATAATGCCTATGAGAAAAATTAGAAAGAAAAAGGCTCAGTAGTGTTTCCTAAGTCACTGAGTTCTATGTCTAACCAGCAGCTGCTGACTAGATGCTGTCCTAACAGCCCATTAAAATAAAGCTTCCCAAAGCAAGCCACTGGAAAACCTACAACTCAATACAAGAGATCTGACTAGATTAAGGAGAGGGAAAAAAAAAATACACCAGTCTCTCTTTCAACTATTACTGATGGAGGTACTTATCCCAAAACTGAACACCTTGCTGCCATTTCAATTTGAAGCCTTACAGTTTTGTTTGTAAGATTGAAGACAACAGAATTCATTATTACTGAAAAGTAGCCGCTTAAATCTGATAAAATTACATTCCTTAAAAAGATGAGTTTCTTGTCTAATTTGTTTTTATCCAAACATGATATACAGTTCATTTTTAAAACAAAACCATCACAGTCAAGCTCATTGTATTGACAAGTAACATTGCTCTGATGTGTAACAGAACTAAGGCTGCTCATTAGAAAAAAAAAACAAAAAAACAAAGAAAAAAGATGTCATCACTCAAATCCTTTAAGGTAATACCTAGCAATTGCAATACAACATTCCAGGAGAATCTCAATCTGAATTAGAACTGTTTAAGAACAATAAGGATCTCTAAGGACTAATATCAAATTTTGCTCTAAAGGGAAAAAAGAACTTTGCAATTCCTCTCCATGAATACAATATAAACCTGCAATTTAGAAGATCTTATATATCCAAGTATCAAAGCATATCTTCACTGCTTATAAAAGGTGCTTGTGTTAGAAGGGTATTTGCTAAGATTAAAGTTAATAAAACCTGTACTGAAGATACACATAACACAAGCAAGCACACATATCACCCAAATATAACACACAGCATCTGCTGCACCATTTCCATATTTCACCAGCACGTTTATCACACAGCCAACACCGTGGGCTGCAGACAGGCTTGAGGAGCATTAGATTAGCTGGGACACCTACCAGCCAGGTGACCTAGTGACAGCGTTGCCACAGCAGCTGGGAGTGGAATCTGCATAGACTCCTGACAAGCTCCCAGGTGGGTTTCACAGACCGCATTTACCTCTGTGCTTCCGTGGCTACATTGCCATCAACAACAGAGGGGAACTACAATTACACGTATCTGGGATGTGCTATTGCTTCGGCCACAGCATGGCCAGTCTATGTCTTAGAAGAGTCTGCCCAAGAAAATACCGTATTATGAAGATGACAAACAATTCTTTTTACACTTGTTCCTGCGTACACTTTGACAGGTCTCCTGCAGAGACAGGAAATTCAGGACTTTGCTAGTTCAGCGTTAACAAAATAAGCATTATGTTTGCACAAAGCTGGGACTGTAAGGACAGCAAGAACCATGATGGAAAGTTTAAAAAGTGGTGAACAATGCTAATTATCAGCAGCAGAATATGAAGTCGAGTACTAGTTTCCAATACCGATGAAAGCATTAAAACATACAGTAGATTTATGCTGGACTGTTAAACAGCGTATAAATATTCTATAATTTGAATTAAAATTTTTATTTGGCTTGGTTGATCACAGGGGATTCAGCTTTAGAAAACTTTTCATAGAGATACAAGATACATCATGAAAACTCTGAGTATTTTTGCTGTCCTAAGGTTTCTGCGCTGCTGGAGCTGCAGATGCTGGAAGCTACATTTTGCACACACCTTGCTGATCCCTCAGCACTAAGAGTCTTCAAGACACAGTTTGACATATTTTAGCAAGTTTGAAGTTGTCCTGGTTTGACAGGACAGAAGTCTATCAGAATGCAGGAAAGTGTATTTTTATCAAGTGGGAAACAAAAACTTTATTTGTGCTTGACAGAAAAATGAAGCACAACAAATATGTACATGTATAAATGTGTGTGTGTATATATATATATATATATTTAAAGCCCCAACCAAAACCAGACTTCAAATGGAGCATGGATGGCAACTTGGAAGCAAAAAATACAATCAAGGGGGTTTCTGATGAGAACTTCAGTATGTTTTTAAGACTGATGTTGGAGAAGCATCATCCCATGCAGTGGCAGAATCCTTGTGGCTTTGAGTCTGAGACCTGCAACAACAGCTGTCACTGAATCCCAGACCTCTTCTGGCACAAATTTCCTGATCTGAAGAACCAAGGATGTTTTACCTTCTACCAACTTCAAGAGATGCACTTTAATCAACAGATAAGCAGAGGGAGATCATCAGATGAATGCTGCACACTCTAGCAGTACAGATCACTTTACTGCCACCACTAAATGACACCATTTTCAACTTCTGCTCTTCCCCAGAAATTTCTCTCTTCTTGACTTGGCTTCAAAACTGCTTCTTTTACTTCTATTACAATTCGCTGATTGTCACACTGTTTTTGTTTGCACCTGGAAACTACATTATTTATCACTGCCTCCTCAGACTCCGCTAACATTTCCAAATCTTGCCTTGCCTTTGGTTTCTCTGGTCCAGAATTTTGCCCATCACCTGGCCATTACCAGCAACAACATCCAGGAGGACATCTGGAACTTGTGGGTGCCAAATCTGGAAGGCAAAGAAACACAAACTATTAAATGCTATTTGCTTTCCATTGTTTCACATATATTTATTTCTCCCCATAGCTTTTGACAAGCAAAAATCTCCTCCAGATTTCACAGATATAAAGTAATTTTCAGTAGCTGTCGTCCCACGTTGTTTGCCAGGCAGACACACACCTAAAACCAGCCTTGAGCTGCAGCCTGCACTGCCTCCAAACAGAGGTTTTGTGGTGATATAATAGCAGGGAGAACACAGATGGGATGTAGTTCCCAACATAATTGCATAGCCTGCTAAATGTCTAGCAGTAATTGTAGCTATTCCACTGTAAAAATCAGGACACAGATCAGATTAGTAACTTGCATTTGTTCATCTATAGTAGTTTCTGATATTTATAAACTGTTTCTTTTCCACGTGACAAAACAAAGCATAACTGTTTGAAAGGCTGGAGCGAATCACAACAGAATTACAGATGTGCATCACTAATTTTCTGAAGTGCCGTGTGGCTGGAAGAACAAACAATCTATGCAGGGCCCAGCGATGAGATGACATTAAAATACAACATTGCTTCAGCTTCTGTTTTCACAAAGATAGACTGTACTTAAATCCTGATCTATAGAAGTGGGTTTTAGGGTATCTTATGCCACTCTGCCAGTCACTGTAAGCAACTTCAAGCCAGCACTAATGCCCAAAGAGGCAGACTCACCCCTTGAACTGTGACAGTACAAGCTGTTTTTACAGTCAGTTGATAGATCATACTGGGTAACTGACCTGTTTTAACCTGAACTGACAAAAAGCCCCCGAGTTTTAAATTTGACAGTTGTCCTAAGCCATTCTATCCACTAGTTAATGTCCTCCTAGCATCCCTCTACTTTCTTCCTTGAATCAGTTAGAATATTTAATTTGGCCCTTGCCTGAACTGGCTGAGACAACTAACCATACAGACAACTGCTCATTGATTTGCTAGCCCACACTTTCTTGTAGATGGCTCAGCAAAAGCTCCAGTCCATGTGGAAGTGGGGCAAGACAAGGGATGAGAAACCACAGCCAGGGCAGAAAGGAAAGAAAGACAGCAGTGGTGTATGTGGTTAAGGCTTCAATAGAGCTACTGCCTCAGCTCAGCTCCCCACACTGGTACATCGTGGAGTCTCATGAACATTCGTGTAGGAGAAAGGGAACAGAAGAGGATAACAATGAATGGACAGCAATACCAGCTTTCACTGATGTAAAAAACTGAATCAAAGATTTTTTAATAACCAGTATGAGATAAAAAAGTAATTTAAGGCCTGTGACTCTACCAGGAACTACCTGAGAAACTAGAACTACTTAGAACATTTTTACATAACACTTCCATTGGCTGTCCCGCTGCAAAACCTACTTGAAACAGAGCGATACAATATATGGACCTCACAGGCCAGCTTTTAGGCTCAAAGCCTAAAGGGCTGGACGCTGCTGCACAGAAGCAAGATCGAGGACATAAGAGCTCTCCTCAGAGGCTCTGGTGCAGAGGGGAGGTCTTTTCACTGGTAGGAGGAAGGCCTCTGGGTCATGTCCGGGTGGGCTCTTCATGAATGGTCAATGATCTTGGTCATGAAGAACAAAACTGGCCTGGAAACACCTTCCACATCAACGTAACGCCGAGCAACGGCACCCAAGCGGCCTTAAACAACTACCACACACTGACCTGCACCTCGACACCCACTAGGCCACAGCCGGCCGGGCCACCACCAGCCGGACCCTGAAGGTGCCAGGGCCGGGCCTGCCGACCGCCAACGACCCCTGACAAACGCTCAGGTCCCCGCCTCCCGCCTCACGGCCTCGCTCCGTACAGCCATCAGCTTCGGCCCCGCCGTCCCTCCCCGGCAGCCCGCCCCGGCCCTCAGGGAGCCCGCACACCCCGCTCACCCCAACCACCGCCGCCGCCTCGCCCCGCCGCCGCCGCCCGCTGTCGCGAAATCGAGGTTACTTTTGCGGCCGCTCTCGCTTGACGGCCGCGAGGCACACGGGCAGGGCCGCGCCACCATGCTGTGTGTGGCGCGACGGCCTTTGCGCATGCGCAGTGCGGCGCGTCCCAGGCGGAAGGGATGCAGTATGCGCAGTTGAGGGAGACAACACCCCCCCAAACCTCTCCGCGCGGCTGCGGCGCGTGCGCGCTGGGCCGGGGGGGGCGCGCTGCGCAAGGCGCATGCGCGAGGCTGCCAGCGGGCTGACGGGAGCCGGCGGCGGGACAATTGAGTGCCCGGGCGGCCGCCGCGCTGAGGTACGGCCGGGAGGTGAGGTACGGGGCCGGGGAGGGGGCTGAGATACCGGGCTGAGGGACGGGGCCGAGGGGGGCGCTGAGGGGAGCTGATGTACCGGGCCGAGGAGGCTGAGGTGCAGGGCTGAGGGGGCCGAGGTACCGGGCCGGGGGGTCCCGAGGGGGGCGGAAGCACGGGGCCGAGGGGGGCGCCGAGGCACGGGGACGATGTACCGCCCCGGGGGGTGCCCGAGGGGGCCCGAGGTACCGGTCTGAGGGGCCCGAGATACTGGGCTGAGGGGAGCCCGAGGAGGGCCCGAGGGGGGGCCGAGGTGCCGGGCCGAGGGGGGCCCGAAGGGGGCCGAGGTGCCGGCCCGAGGCTGGCCGAGGTACTGGCCCGGGGGGGCTGAGGGTCGCCGTGCGGAAGGGCCGCTGGCCTCTCCTGGCGGGGAGCCGGCTGGGCACCCCCAGTCCCTCTGGAATCCCCTCCTTCCACCGCCCCGCGGCTGCTCCCGGGCAGCTGAGGCGAGGTGGGCAGGAGCCGGGGTAAATAGCAGTTTGTGTAGCGTTGCTCTCAGGGGCTGCTCCGAATCCTTGCAGTTATTACTCGTCTGAGGTGGTTTTTCACTGATACCGATATCCAAGGCGATGGCAGTCGCTGTCAGCAGTTTAACTGAGTGCGAGTTAATCCGGTGTTGCGTCTTAAATCTCTGAGTCGCCTACAAATAATTTAGACCAGGAATGTCTCTTCAAGCGTTTGGGAGGGCAGCCTGTTAAATTTGTGCAGAGATAGCTAATGTGGCCGCCTTTAACAGAACTCCAAGCATACTATGCTGGGTGGCATGTCTAAAATGTTGAAATAGTCTTTGTATGCGGCTTTTGTTTTAATGCAGTTGTTAAGGTATCTTTAAGGAGAAAAATTCAATGCGTACAAAAGCAGATGCGTTCATGAGGCGTTTTAGGATGTGGTTTCATGGTACGCTCACTTTGGTCAAGCTAATCAAAGGCAGGAGCAGTGCTTTTCTTGTTACCTCCAGCTGTTTCCCTGCAACTGTAATTAACGGTATTGCAAGTACAGGGTGATCAACGTATTGGTGCCTGTCTCAGAGGAAAGGGCACATTTGCTTGTCAATTCATTTAGTTGTAAGGTGGAACTATTCCTTCCCCTTGCTACACCTATGCTGATCCCATCTAAATGATCTAGCAGTTGTTGCATACCCATAATCTCCTTTTTTCTGTGTAGTACTGTAAAGACACAAAGCATAAGCCTTTTTTTTATTTTATATTTTTATTATATTTTATAAAAAGTTACATTTTGAAGACAGAGAGATATGTATTGCTGGAAGCAATATTACATTTAAAAACCACAGCCCCCAATGATTTTTGTAGTTGCAAGTAGGTAACACTGGTAATAGTCTTATGCATTCTTAAATTTGATGGAAATGAAGTTAAGCTTTCACAGTGATTTACCAGTTGTTTACACTGCAGATACTCCTGTTACAATAACTACATAGGGTTAACTAAACTTCATATGCTAACGCCGTTGTTGAGTGGGCTTAAGGTGTGAATGGCTGTTGACACAGCCAGAGACTTCCTTCTTTGTTAATAATAGCCATCATGGAATCGACAACAGTTCAGGCCACTTTGCCATTAAGGTTTATGTTAGTAACAGCATCATATATCTGCTAATTGTTCAGATATGAAGGAGATAAGAGTACCCATGTTAGTGTCTGCATGCTTGTAACGGAGTACTGTCAAAATGCTTACTACTGCACAGATTTTGGAAGGAAAGGTTGTCGTGCCCTAGTAAGCCACTGGAGTGCAGAGCAGTGTCAAAAAAGTAGAGAAACACTGGCTGTTGGAACAGGATCCAGACAAGCTTTGGAGGTGGTAGAGAGTTTGTGTGGTTTGTGTCTGCAATCTGTATTATGGTTTATTTTTACCTAATAGTTGGGGGGGAATCAATTAAAATAAATGGTCTGTGTATGAATGGAGAATTAAACCAAAGTGTCTTTCATAAATTGCTGTACCATGCTTGTCTTCATCATTCCAGCTCCTGGGTTATTCTACTGGAATTTTGTTTTCTTGTTTTGTTTCTACTACTTTGAAGTATTAAGATTATAACCTGTTATCTTAGCGATTACAAGTATGCTTTGTCATATTAACTTTGATGTATGTTTGGTTTTGTCCTGAGGTTGTTCAGGGGAACAATGGTCTTATATTTTGAGGGAAAACCTGTAATACGTTCCTTCCACTGTTCAAGTAGACATAACATGGAGTGATAACCTCCACTGTAATTTTGACATAATTTTCTGCTGACTTCTAATCTTATTGTAGGGAATCTGAATGACCAATATAATTGACTGTTTAATGCAAAATACTACTGACAGATATGAAATATACCTTCCAACATTTGTTGTTCGCTGTGCAGTAATAATGAGCTTTTCAAAATTATGTTTTAAGTTATTAGAATAGTTAGTTCTGTTTCAAATTGTCTTTCTTTTTATACTGGTGTAAGTTTGTTGAGTAGCCCTATGTTGTGCATTTCCAGGGTATTTCTTGCCATTGAGATCTGCATTATTGGATTTTCAAATGGAAAAAGAAGAGTTCAACTGCAAAATTTGCTATAGTCAATCTTTTGTAGCACTTAAACAATGCATTGCAACAATACTACTTTTTCTTAAATTGTATTATGCTTGTGAACTAAGATTATTCTTTGAAAATCTTTTATGCTATCTTTTATTTTATTTTCAAGTAGTGCTTATATTGTTATCTACTGATATATATTATATTTAAAGGCTATTCTGACTACAGTTGTCTTTATCTGCTTCCTTCCTTCCTTCCTCTCCACCCTCCAGAGCAGTATAACTAAATATGAGACGATCAGCTGCTCCAAGTCAAGTGCTAGGAAATGTAGCCAAAAAGCCAAGGTTTATACCACCAGGAAAAAGTATCACAGTTTGTCTCAAGAATGAAACTAAGGACGTGGACCAAGCAATGAAATTAAAGAAGGTAAACTGAACAATGCACTATAAAGTATATTTGTTTGTACAGTATTGTTACTAAAAGAAAGATAGCATCTGAGCTCACCACAAACAATCTCTGCTTAAATAATCAGTCTGTCAGAATAGATTTCGATACCTTTGCTCTTACTGCATTAGATCATGCTTCTTAGGTAGGTTTCTCTCACTCTGTGAAGTGGATGCAGAAAAGTGTTTTTCAAATAAATAAAAGAATCAGTATTGAATCTAAATGCAATTCTCAGAGTAGGTGGGGTATGGACTGTATCCTGGCCAGGGCTTTGTGGGATTCAAATGTTTGAAATGCCTGGGAAAAAACAGTTAAAAACCCAAGATACTTAACAATGAAATATCAGTACATCAAGTTGCAGTTTTGCTGCGAGGAACTTTCTCTGAAACGTTGATTATCAACCCAAAAAAGCATCACAATTTTTATTGATTTTTATCTACTTCCACAGGTGGTGTTTGGTATTGTGTGCATCCGCTTTTTGTTCTGAACACTAGGATGCATATATTTGTGTAGGGATCCATATATTTATGTGGATACTTTGATAATAAGGATTATTACCTGTTAAGATCCCTTCTCATTGCTCTTTTCTCCATTTCTCAACTGTGTGAAGGAAATGCTATTGTGAACTTGTTTCTCTTTTGCAGACAGATGAGAAAGAGGGAAGTGCTTCATTGCTTTCTAAAATATGTGGCCAAAATCAAAATGCAGATTTTACAGAGTCTGTGGAGTCAACTGGGGAAGTAAAGACTACAAAAGCACATTTCAACCTAAATAAGAGCAGCAAGATGGAAATGAAAGCACTAAACATGCCCAAAGCTGGTAAGATGCTCCTTATTTACTGCCATGTATCTTAAGAGAATTTTAAAGCTTATGTATGATATGCTACTTACTAAATGTTTATGGATTACTAATATATGGGTCATGCAATAGTGCCATTATTTGGTGTTCTCCTGGGTAGAGAATGAAAGAAACAAACATGAAGTGATTTTTTTTAAATAGAAAAGGTGTGATGTTTTAGAAGCCAGTTTGTATTGCTGCTATTCAGGTGTGTGTCTTCCAGAGAAGTACAATAGTCAGCTCACTCTAATCCAGAGTGATATCAAGAGGAGAGTCAGGGAAAGTGTTGTAACTTGGAGATCTTGTTGGCTTCAAGCAGAGAATGCTAACTGTTCTGAGTGGATTCACATCTTTCAGAATTCATGAGGGTTTCTTTACTTCAGTGCAAGATCTGAGCTGTTTTCTTCGGTGTCTCCAGTGGGCACTTAAGGTTCAAGCATGGGCTGCTAACTCCAGTGTAGTGTCAGAGCAGGGCTGGCTCTGTTCACTCACGTGTGTGCGCTTACTCATTTGTTACCCTGGTAATGAATATTACCCTGAAAGCAGTAGGCACCGCAATGATACTGAAGTGTCTGAACTGTAGCGCTTTGACGGACCTGAATGACTCTGTGGGGTTGGCTGAGTGTCTTCATTTCCCACTCTTCATGTGCCCTGACCACAGCTACAGTGCAGGGACGTTGTGTGTTGTGTGAATGCAGGTGTACAACCTCAGGAGCCAAGTGCATCTTGAAAGTGTGGCGCATGAACTGGGTTACTAACATTGCTACATGAAATTCACTCCTCTTGGAGCCAGCTCAGACATTTTAATGTCTCTCTTACTGTTAATTCACTATCATTTCATTCTAATTAATTACATTGATAATGATCTTTCTCTTCTTTTTAGGGTTTATTTAATTGATAATACTTTGTGTAATTAGCGTAGTTTTAAAAGAGCATTTCATGACCACTTATCACCTTGATTCTGTAATGGTTGGAATTATAATTCAGAAGGCCTTCACAAAGTTATATTTAATTTTGTTTGTGCGAGGAGGTGCTAAATCTGGAAGCCTGACAGAAGCAAAGCTGCGTGTCCCAAGGTTCAGCCACTAGTGGGGCTGAGCAGGTATTCCTAACAGGCATGCATATGTACAATACCTATAGATATATACACATAGGTGGTAACGTAGACCAACACACACAGAGGACACAGCATTCAGACAAACACAAGCAGCCCCAATGGACTCAGCGTGTTGCCCTCTCTGGTTGTGCAAGGTGAAAGCCTGTTTGTGGAAAATAAATACATGACTATACATGTATCTATATATAGATACACACACAGAGAATATAGATCCCTCCACTAACTGATGTTATGCATTCAGTCTATTCATTAGCTGCCTCCTTGATTTGTTGGACACCCCAGCTGCAGGCACGTGGACATATGAACCACAAAGTCCAGTTGCTGGGACTCAAACCTGCACTGCCACAGGTAAAAACACAGTATAGGTCCCTCCAGTAATTGGACTTAGACACTAGGTCTACTTGGTGGCCTACTGGATCCACTGGTTTCCCAGTTGCCTTGTGCACAAGAGAGGTGTGCATAGAAACATGTCTCCCTGGTAGCTAGACCTACCAGTAGCCAACCCCCAGATATCCCGGTCTCTCCAGTAACTCGCTTGGACTTCCTGATCCCTCCAGTAGCCACCTCCTAGACCCTCTGCTCTCTCCAATATCTGGCCCAGTCTCGTGGCTGCTCCAATACTTGGCTCGCAGTCCTCTTATCCTACTTGCCAGCTAGTCCAGCTTAGTGTTTGCTAGTGATCACACACTCACACGTGTACCCAGGCAGTAGGCATGGGCTCTGGCCTCTCTGCTGGCTGCTCCATAAGGAACCTGGGCCCTATGACCTGTGTGTGGTCCAACTCCAGTGACTGGCACGTGTGCTTCCATACACACTTATGCACGTACAATAGAGTCCCTTCACCCAGGGAAATATTTAGAAATGTAGTGTACTAAGAAGATGGGACACACTGTGGCAATAGGGTGCTGGACAAGCATACTGACCAGTCCCCTGTTTAAAGGTGGCTGCTTTTTATTTTTTATTTTTCTGTGCTTGTTCCTCCCTGAACTACCTTCCTCTGTCTCTTTTGCTTGTCCTTGTTTTGTTTTTTTTTTCCTTCAAAAATTTCATTACAAGCCTTGTGTGATCTCCAGATACCCTTTCTAGCAATCTGTGAGTTCCAAGCCCCAGTAGGCAGCCAGACATCTCTGAGGAGCCCTTCCCATTGACTCTTCTTGTTGGGTTTCACCCTCAGAAAATGGGGGTTGGTCGGTTCCCCATGGTAGCCCTGAGAGGATGGTGCCATTATCACGAGATGTGACCCAGAGTGTATGTACTCTGTTTTGGCAGAACTAATGTGGGAAAATTCCTTGTATGTCTCAAGTCCTTCTGGTGTTATAGCTTCTGTGTTTATCTGCTGCACGCTGTACCTTCCAGTTCTTCTGATGAAGCTCATAGTTGCAGAAGATTTTCAGTGTGTATGGGACAAGTTGTTTGAGGGGTCCCTATAGGTACATCTGCAAAAATTTGTGTCTGCTGGTTCTGTCTAGCAGTGCACTTGAAAGATAACTGGTGCGTTTATTTCCAAAATAATCTGGGAAACTGGCAGGCTTCCCAACAACAAATGTTGTGAAGTGGAAAAGATACTTAATGCTCTTTCAGTGTGATGAATTCCGAGTGCAGCTGGTATGGCTTCTCTCTGATGACTTTGGAAAGATCAAAACGTGGTGGAGTGAGACTGGGAGAGCTGTTCCTGTTGATGCTGTGCTGTTACCTTCCTGAGTGACTGAACAAGCTATTTTGTGCCAAAGCTTTTCGATGTCTGTAGTATGGGGCTAACCCTGCAAGTCTTTGTAAAGCTGTGATGAAATGTGGTATAAAATAAGGATATCTAATGTGAGTGTTAGTTATGGACATCAAGTTCACTGGTGATGCAAGCACTGTACTGTAAAAACAATCCTGCATTGAGCCTCTGTTAGATCATAAGTAATTTCTTAAAAACTTAGATTTTCCAAGAGTTTCTGTCCTTTACGTCACTCTCTTCTGCTTTTCATTACAGCTAATGTAGCAATTACGTAGATTGTGTAAACCATAACCTCCTTTGTAGTGTGAAATGAAGTTGTTTTGTCAAAGCTGTTTTTGGTATGAAATTCAGAAGTAATGGAAACCAGTTGTGAAAGCCAGAGACAGTTTTGCATTTTTATTATTATTATTAATATTGTAATGGAATTATATCTGACTGCCAGTCTCTGCAGCCAAAGATGACTTCTCTGTTAAAGGGATGTTAAAGTAATTTATAGATTGAAAACGTCTGTGTGTATGCATTATTTTGATTTATTGTCTCCATATCATTTAATGCAGATGATAAACTGTTTGTTAGCTTTATATCAAGCTCAAAGCTTCTGTGTTTGGGTTTCCAGCACAGCAATGGAATGTGTAAATAAATACCCCAGTTTCCTTTGAAATTCTTGTGAAACACCTGCGGACCATTGGACAACTGTGCTGTTCATAAAGCTAATCTTTCTGAAACCCAGCACAGAAAATGCTGCACATTCTTTCAAAAAAACTTGTTATCTGACACATGGTGTCCATTTCCTGGAGCAGACAAGTAAGGATACGATTAGATAGCATCAATCTAAGAATTATACCATATCTGGCTTAAAAAAAAAAAACACCTTGCTTTTCTAGGCTTCTTTTCAAAATAAACTTCTTCCTAAAATTTCACTAATGAAAGGGACTTGAAATTCTATGAGATGAGTTTTCTAAAGACGCTTTAATAGGATTTTGGCAACTGTTGTTGAGTGAAATGTAACTGTGTTGTAATTTCAAGACAGTTTGAACTGTAAGATATTGAACGTGCTGTTCAAAAGGCAGTTTAATAATGGTGATTGTGAGTTGTGAATACCGGAAAGTGATGTTTTTCCATAAATACATATCTTCGTAGGAAAATGAACTTTGCAACTGCTTTATGAATCAGTGTTTGCTTCTTTTTAAGAGGCAAAGAGCACAGCAATATCTCTGGTACCTTTGTTTTCAGAATACAGTATTTGTTGACAGTAACAATGGATGTGTAGGTAATTTATTTGACACTGTCATTAGTGGTTTTTCTCATGTGCTGCCAGAGAATCCTATCAGATAAGCCTGCACTCTCTTTAAAAATGAAAGTTACTTTAATATTCTGAAACTACTTCAGAGTAATTGAAAAAAAAAAATCATTAGTGTGTTTGGAACGGTATTATTTCAGCTCTTAAAAGTGCCTGGTTTCTGCTTGTCCTCATTATATCCTGAGGACCTATAAACAATAACAAAATAAATACAAATAATTTGAATTTGAAGAAACGATGGACAGGCAGATTGCTGAACTATACTTAGTATTGCCTCAGTGTTGCAGTAAGCGTGTTTGGTCAGAACTGAGGTTTTTACCTACATTGCCTTCTTCAGCTTAATGTTTTTAATAGATATGTTTTGATTCATAGAAAACAGACATAACAAATTTAAGTTATACTTATTATCTGAGTTTACAGCTTGCTTTCTGTTGGTATTTTTCATCTAAGAGGATGTTGCTCTGTTTTTTCCTTTGAGCTCACTATATGGTGTGTGGAAATGAATAGCTATTTCTCCTGCATTCTTACACACCACATTCCAGTTGGACTGAAATGTTATTATTTGAACCTGATGTAGACAAATATACATCAAATATATGCTGGATATAGAGTTTTACTCTGTTACAGCTCACCTCCTGTTTGCTTTTTGGTTCAGGAGTACTTTGTCTTTCATCCATCACTAACATATGTTAATGTGTCTTCCAAGAGGAACCTTGTCAGAAGTCATACTCTCAAAATACTATCTTTGAGCTAACAATGAAGACAGATTGTAACTGTATTTCATGACAGGGTTAATGTGTTCACCCTATGTCCCTTGACGGATGTTTTTGGATGTTTTTCAT